CCACACCCAGTGCCTGGAGGGGATTCTGACCCACAGCGCCCCTAGAGGACAGAGTGGAACTGCACCACAGGGTCTCCAAGGCTGTCAGTCTTTATGGGAGCAAAGCCCAAACCACACCCACTGGAAGCAAAGCCCAAACTAAACCCACTACCATTGACTCGACTTGACTCATAGAGACCCCTCCTTGGGATTCCGAGGTGGTATCACTACGAAAGTAGATTGCTCAACCTTCCTTCCGAGGAGTGGCTGGTGGGGCTGAACTGCCAGCCTTCTGGTTAGCAGTCAAGTGCCTTAGGCACTACACCACCAGAGCTCCTAGAGAATCAGTAACCTGGAATGAAAACTTCATCCTAAACTGGAATAATAGAGATTTGAAATAATGGCAAGTTGTGTATTTGTATATGCACATATCTGTATTTTCCGTCTGCCTCTCCCTCCCTTCCCCCTGCAACATCTCCATCCGGTCAAGTGATGGGAGATGAGTTGCATTAACTTGTTTCTTCTTGGATACTTGTGCTATTTCTCCTGAGACACTTACAGTCACAGATATCCCTTTGAAAGTTGCACAGAATTTGCCTTCGCTTCTCTTAGGTTTGGTCGAGGTGACCTGTCCAGTCACGGGGATGACTTTTTCATGAATGAAGGGACCGTTGTTGCCACTGATGTTTCTGCGGCGTGGAGGGTCCTCTGGCAATGGGGAAAGTGGAGGAGGGAAGAGCTTTTCTTCTTTCCTTCTGTTTGCTCTCCTGGATGAATTATTTCTGAGGAAACAGAAAGTGTAGGATGTCATAAAGTCTCGTCTCTCTTTATTCTGTTTTTTTTTTTTTTCCCCCATGATGCTGGTATTATCAGCTAAAGTAACATTTCAGTTGATGGTTCTTTACCTATGGCAAAGGGTATATATAAAAATGCACATAGATATATAGATACAAGTATGGCTACAGGTTATAGATATATAGATACAGATGTAGATCCATTCAGACATATATATCCAAGAGGAAACACATGTCTTTGAAGCAGAATTCCATGATCAATGTAAACATCTAACGGAGCATACTACACTGTGATATTTGCAACCTTTCAAGGACACTGTTAATTAGATTTTTATGGAAAATACAATGCAGACTTAATCCCATCATCTTCCAGGATAGTTCCTACTTATTTTATCCTACAACTTAACTGCTCAGTCACTCAATTGTAATAAACAATTAGAGGAAGGATATTTTCTTAAGCGATGCTATGCTTATAAATTACTTAGAGATACAGAATACACTAAGTACTCCTGTAACACATTACAAATTGTGTGTACAAATTGTTCTACCTCACTCCCAAAGCATAATAAGCCACTGACCTTAAATTGTTATCTGAAGTACTGATGTACTCTACTTTCTAAAATCTATTTAAAAAATATTCTTTTATCATATTGACACTAGATGGCTGCAATCCTAAAAGTACTACTGTGCTTTTGTACTGATTTATCTGCCCATTAAATGGGCACCATCAAACAGACTGAGACTATAGATAAAGCAGAAAAAGGAACAACTAAAATCTTAATGCTAGCTGCTTAACATGGTAATTGGGTCATGGATTTTCATTTTAGTTACTGTCTTAGTGTAATCAATGAAGATTACTTGAATTTTAATCTTTCCTTGGACAACTAATATCACACTATGCAGCCATTCACTTTTCATGATCATTGACTACAATTTTCAATAGCAAATTAAGTCAACAAGAATTTATGTTTTCCTCTTGGTCAATTTCAGTCGGTGTCTAGAAATATAGATTTGCAATATCTCAAAGCAACAAATCAAAAATCAACAAGCATTCGAGTGCTCTTATTTTCTGAACTGGTAGAAGTCAATACAGTCTCCTTGTTCCACTTCCCCTGTGTTGCACAAAATTGCCAATTGTAATAATATTTGTCATCTTCTCCACCTTTTATTTCATAAATGTGGTCCCATGTCAATTTTTGTTATGCCACAAAATCTAAAGAAAGAAACTTTAACTGTTTCTGCTTTTACCTTAATTGGTTACAATTATTTTAGAAATACTTGTCAATGGATTTTTTAAATTGTTTTGACACACAGAACCATTTTAAGAGCATCATGAGGCTTGATTAAAATGATGGTGAACAGAGGGATTGAGATTCTTGTCCATGAAGAGGCTCCACAAACATCAGACCACGCTACCTAGAATCATTATGGAGGCATCGGACCTTTGGGGATTTATATAGAGGGATGACAAACACTGCTAGGCATCTATCAAAAGCAAATGGTTCCTTAGTTGTGGCCACTCCCTTACTACATGAGCTACCTGAAAATGTAATGGGGACTGGCTGGGGAAGAGCTGCTTTTTAGAAGCAGTCGTTTTGCCATTGGCCACTACCATTAGGCAAGGCCACCAAACTGACCAGTGGGGACTCAGTAAATTCTGCGCAGTGGGTACCTGGAACCATGGGACTTTTAATGGCTTACTTGGGGAAAGACACCCAACAAGCATATTCTAGAGGTACCTCTATCACTGTTATGGCTTCTACTATAAGAATAGTTTTGCTTCTTTGTGTATCTCACATAGTAGGCCAGGGTAGGCCAGGAAACAACAAGAGAAGTGGAGGCATTACCATCTCCTGCAGTCCCTCCGAGGCCCTGCGGATGGTTCAAGCTCCAGAGAAGGACCAGGAGGGGGACTTAGAAGGATCCTTCTGTTGGATGATAGGGAACTCAGCTGTCACAGTCTCATGTGGCATTCTTGGCTGGGTTGAGAGTATTCATTTAGAAAAGTGAATGTTTTCATCTAGAAAACTCCAAGAATTTGAAAGGCCAACAAGGGACAAAGTAACAGACAAAACTTGAGGAGAGGGTTCCCAGGAGAAGACCTCTGAGAGGCCAGTTCTTTCCTGTTCTCCTTCAACTGTGGTTGTTTTCCAGAGATTTGGATTCCAAATGAGGAATGCTACTAGGTAAACATTGTTTTATTAATTAGAAAAGCAGAAAGACTGTAAAGACCATGGATAAAAACATAATTTTATGAAAACAAACTCCAGTTACTAGACATTTACTTAATGCTTGGTCATCTCTCTTCCATGAGATGGGGCAAGTGGCAGGTCAATGGGTGTCTTAGGGACATTATCAGTGGGGGCTGATGATTGTAGTAATACCATGCAGCCCCCTGTCCTTTCGTTTGATTTTTTCAACTAGGTGATTCTTTTTTTTTTTTTAATTATTGTGGTAAAATATATACAACCAGAAATTTGCCATTTAACCCTTTATAAATTAAGACAATTCAGTTGCCTTAATTTCATTCCCCTGATGAAGATTGAAGACTACAGTCTGCAGTATGGATTACATCTCAATATAAAGAAAACAAAAATCCGCACAACTGGACCTACAAGCAGCATCACAATAAATGGAGAAAAGATTGAAGTCGTCAAAGACTTCATATTACTTGGCTCTAGAATCAATATCAATGGAACCAGCAGTCAAGAAATCAGACGACATATAGCACTGGGCAAATCAGCTGCAAAAGACCCCTTTCGAGTGCTGAAGAGCCAAAAATCTCCTTGAAGACTAAGGTGCACCTGACACAAGCCATGGTATTTTCAATCACGTCATATGCATGTAAGAGCTGGACAATGAAAAAAGGAGACCGAAGAAGAGTCGATGCTTTTGAGTTGTGGTGCCGGTGAAGAACACTGAAAGTACCATGGACTTCTAAAAGAACTAACAAATCTGTCCTGGAAGAAGTGCAGCCAGAATGCTCCTTGGAAGCGAGAATGGCCAGACTTCATCTCACCTACTTTGGTCATGTTATCAGTAGGGAGATTCCCTGGAGAAGGATAGCATGCTTGGTAAGGTGGAGAGTAAACAAAAACAGGGAAGGCCCTCAACAAGATGGATTGATGCAGTGGCTACAACGATGGGCTCCGGTATAGCAAGGACCATGGAGCTGGCGTGGGACCAGGCAGTGTTTCGTTCTGCTGTATATATAGGGTCACTATGAGTTGGGGACAACTCGGTGGCACCTAACAACAACAACAGTAATGTTATGCAACCATTACTACTATCTATTTCCAAAAGTTTTCCATCCCTCAAAACAGAAACTCAGTGATACTTAAATAGTCACTCCCCAGTTCCCTTCCTTCAACTCCTGTTGCAACTCCTGGTCACCACTAATAAACTCTGGTCTCTATACATTTACTAGTGTAGATAATTCTTATAAGTGGAATCATAAATATCTATCCCTTCTGTGACTGACTTATTTCATTCAGCATAATGTTGTCAAGGTTCATCCATGTGGTTGTTGTTGTTGTTGTTGTTATTTGCCGTCGAGTCGGACCCGATTCATAGCGACCCCTCCTTGGGTTTCCGAGGCAGTATCACTACGGAAGTAGATTGCCCCATCTTCCTTCCGAGGAGTGGCTGGTGGGTTTGAACCACCAGCCTTCTGGTTAGCAGTCAAGTGCCTTAGGCACTATGCTACCAGAGCTCCCCATCCATGTGGTAGCATGGATCAAAACTCCATTTTCTTTATGGCTGAATAATAGTCCACTGTACAAACAGACCACATTCTGCTTATCCACGCCTCAGTTGATGGTCACTTGGGTTGTTTCTACACTTTGGCTGTTGTAAACAGTGCTGCAATGAACATTGGCATATGTGTCTGTTTGTGTCACAGCCGTCAAGTCTTGTGGGTATATTTCTAGGAGTGGAATTGCTGGGGCCTTGCTTTTCTTTGTGCCTTCAGGGAGCCTAAAGAAAAGCAAGGCCTGAACTGTCCAAAGGCTGGGGACCAGGCAGGTACTGCTACTGCAGCTATGCCATCTGGGTCCTCTCTTTGGAACAGAGGAGAGTCCCAGAAAGAGTACCCTGGGGTGATGGGGTGATGGGGTGATGGGGTTGACTTGTTCCATTGGAAGGGTTTCTGCTTCTGAGAATTTCAAGCTTGTGGTAGGATGGTTCAGAGCCCCGTTCTACCAGGTGATAGAGGTGCACCTCACAAATGGCTATGGATCCTCGGGGAGGGGGCAGCTCAGGCCCCACTCTCCATAGTAGAGAGAGCAGGGCCAGTGGTAATTGGCCTTTTCTGACTTTTCATCTCAAAACAGTACAGATCCAGACAAATGTAAGCTGATAACTTCCCTCCCACATCTTATCTGTGGCAGATTGATGCTGTATCACTGATGGTAAACAGTAATCTGTGAAATCAATTGTTAGCGGCAGTCAGCCAGATTGCCTCTCTGCTCTGGGCTGTTAATAGGCTCCCAAACTGGTCTTAGATGGAAGGAATCTCTAATTTTACATGAATTTATGGCAATAATTACCCAGCTGGAATGGTTAAAGCAGCTGACGTGATTGTTAGTTACTTTATATTTATAAGACAGAAGAATGTGGTCAAAATGCTTGATATAAACAGAGGACAGGACTTGTTGAGGGGAGGCTGGTACAGTTTGAGTGAGGGGGCGATCAGGAGGCCTGCCTGCATCTTCCACTCAGAGGGAGCAGGGAGAAGAGGTGCCACCTGGTTGGAATTAACACGTCCATCCCAGCCACTTTCCCAGACATAGAACTCCCCCCAAGTAGAGGGCGACTCCCAGACCCTCATGTCTCTGACCTCACCAAACTCTTCTTTCTCCTGGCCTTCAGGGAGTTCAGAAGGTAGCTCCTGGCCCTCAAGCTTCATCTCAGCATAAAGTAAGGACACCAAAGAGGAAGCATCTGGCCATACTTTTAAGAGCCAGGGCAAGTGCTTAATCAGGGTCAGAATGGAAAATTCTCCAGAAGCAGGTGATCTGCTGAAATGAGAAGTGCCTCTTGATGCTTCCTTTTTTTCGTTCATTTACTTCCTTTCTTCATTTAGTGCTAAAGGGTTGTTTGGGCTGTTAGCTGTGATCAGTCTGAGTTGGAGTAGAGAGATGTTACTGAAAAGTCATGTTGCCACCCTGACCTGTATGTAGCCTGGATCTCGCTTGGTTAGACCAGTGACCGGGCACCGCTGTTAGGCCTGGACTGAGTAACTCCTGTCTTTGCCTAACATTCATCTGGGGCAGGATTCCCCCAGCAGTTTCAGTCTGGATTTCTTATGAGTCTGAAGAAATCCAGCTGGAACGATCCTTAGAAGTAAGAATGGCCAGACTTCCTCTCACCTACTTTGGTCATGTGGCGAGAAGGGACCATTCCCTGGAGAAGGATATCATGCTGGGTAAAGCAGAGGGTCACTGAAAAAGGGGAAGACCCTCTTTGACATGGACTGACACAGTGGCTGCAACGACGGGCTCGGGTATAGCAAGGATTGGGAGGCTGGTGCCGGACCGGGCAGTACTTCGTTCTGCTGTACGCAGAGTTGCTGTGGGTGGAGCGAATGTGAAGCACTGAACAACAGCATAAGTCTGCACATGTGAGCCATCGTATGTGGACAGGGCAAACTCACTCTCTAGTGTTGGGAGGCTTGTGGGGTGGGGCTGGTGAGATGCAAGGTGGGAGCAGGCAGATCGTAGTGCCCTCCTCCAGGCGCTGCTTCTTCTCAGGAATTTTCTCTGCAACTTCTGTTGGCTTTAACAGGAACAACAACAACAACAACAAAAATAAAAAACACAGAACTTGAAATACTTAGTCCATTCAGACAACCATGTTTCACACATCTAAAAAATCATCACGGTAGACCGTTTTCTCCTATTTTAACTTCTAAATTGGGTGGGAAATTAAACATGCACCTTTGATCAGATAGAGAAACAATCAGCCTCCCCTTGCTTAGTCCTACTGAGGAGTTGGCATTAGAGATGTGAACCTCTGATTAAAGGTTTGGTGGCACAGGAATCTCATAACAATTGTTGTTTGCCGTGGAGTCGGACCCGACACATAGTGTCTCCTCCTTGGGTTTCCGAGGCAGTATCACTACGGAAGAAGATTGCCCAACCTTCCTTCTGAGGAGTGGCTGGTGGGTTTGAACTGCCAGCCTTCTGGTTAGCAGTCAAGTGCCTTAGGCACT